CAGTCTTTCACTGCAATTAGCCTGAATAATCATGTTTAAGATCAGCGCCTGATACTATTATTATAAAACGATATGTACTTATGAAGTCTGTAGTCTGCAATCTGCATTTTACTCTCAGTCTGCATTTTACCCCGGTCTGCAGTCCGCAGTCTGCGTTTTACACTGACGATTTTCAATTTGATTGCCAGCAAAGTGGATGTGAAATCGGAACATATTAGTACATTACTAAATTACATAGGCCATCAAAGAATATTCGACCGTACAGGCCCTTTCATAAAATTAGCACAGAATCATTTAAATATATAGAACAGCTAAACTGTTGGAATTTTGTAAGCAGTATCATCAGTAGAGAGTAAATGATGCAGTGCTTAAATTATTATCTTTAGAACATAAAGGAAAAAGAGTCTACTCCCATATACAATGTACTTAAATGTTGGGTGTTAAAGTTCAAAATATCATAGGTAATCAAATTTCTGTAGTTCCCAGGGTAGAATCTAGTTGTAGTTTATAACGAATTAGGTGGCTATTATGTTAGTTACAGTAATTTAGTGGAATAATTTTGAATAATTAATTTGTTTATTTATTTATGCCCATTTATATTCTTTTTGCCGAATGCTAAAATGGATACAATTTATTGGGTCTATTTGACAAACAAATCTTTCAAGAGGCATGCAGGTTTTGGTTTCACAAGATAGTACAACGGTAAACAGAGTTGTGGGAATATTGTTCCAGATTTGTACTATCCTTGTCAGCAAAAGCTTATACTAAGTATGTGTTGCTTGAGTAAAACAATAATAAGGCTTAATCATTCTGTAATCATTGCAGGCTTTGTTAAATTTACTTTCTAGACTGTTCTTCATTTTTGGACTATTTGTATTTTGGCCAATGTACTATAATGTGTAGTCCCTAAAAAGGCCAATCACTGTTATAAGATTGTACAATTGAGGTGCATGGTACCTATGCAGTTATTGGAGAGCCTTACAGTCAAACTCACAAAACCGTGAACACCTAAAACATGTCTGGAATGTTTATTGTGTTATAAACAATCATGAGCGAGATCTACAACCATAGAAACCACAGAAACAGACGAGTTTCTATCGGTCATGGAACAAATTTGTTTTGTGACCGGTCTCAAAATAAATCCTCTATTTCGGTTATACAAGAAATTAGATAATTGCTGTTACAGGCTATTTAAACACTTACCGAAGAGGGTTTGAGATATTTTCAACGTGAGAAAACTGTTTTCACAAACCAATGTGCTGGACCAACACGACTAGCAGCCGTTGAATCACTCAAGCCCAAACGATCCAAATCAGTACTTTCATTATTTCGTTTCATTATAATAATTTTGACAACGACAAAAAGCGACGAGTGATATTGATGAAAATAGAAGTCTTCCATTATATTTTGTAATATGTGAATCAAGTTCAAATTTATTTGGGAAGGAACAGTGGAAAATTTGAGGTGTTTACTGTTTGCCACAACTAATTGCAAAATTAGCAAACATTTTTGCATTTATCATGGTCAATCTTTCCAGGATGTTTAGATCACTGAACCACTGGGCCCAAGGGATTGTAATTGTTTGCTAAAATAAATTGAGTTGCTAGTTTAACCAAAGATGATACCAAGGTTAGCGAAACCACCAAAATT